TGGCCTAACCGCTTGTACTAATAAAGTGCCAAGGGCCTAAGTGGTCACCTTAATATTAAAAAAAAAAAAAAAAAAGATTAGATATAAGGTCCCGATTTCAATTTTAATGAGGTTTTTAAAGTCCTGAACATTTTTACTTAGAGTACCCGATCTTGTTTACTTAGTACATTTTGAGGTATAGTAACACTGGTGATGATCACCAGTGGCGGTAAATAGCAATACATTATCAATTTAAAAATATTATATTATTATTATATATTAATAATATAATAATTATAGAATAATTATATTTATGATATCTTTATTGTAATCATATTTTTAAAAAATCAAAATTTCGGTAAAGTACTGTCGTCCTCCTCTATAATTACGCTGTTTGTTTTATATAAAAAAGATGTGATTATAATATTTTAATAGTAATGTGATTATATAGAGTTTTTTATTAAATATATTGCCATAATTTTTCAGAAAATGGTGCTTATAAAAAGGAAGTGATTATATAGGAGGTCCGCAGAAGAAGACGACTGTAATATTTAGGTGAGAATATAAAATTTATTTTTTTTTTAATTTTTTTAATTTTTTTATCAATCATTGAAATTATACCAACATATTTCATTTCTTAATTTACAAATAACACATGTCAATTAATGATTGAAAATGATGCAAAACACCATCAACTTTTATTAGATAGCAGATAATATTCTGAATACATAAAATATCATGTAATTTTTTTTAATTGAAGAGTATATGACTGATAAAATAATAATTTCTTTTGAATAAATGTTTGAGCTTCATGTAAGAAAATAAAGATGGGTAAAGATGGGTAAAAATCGGAAGTTCAAATATTATAAGCAGCAAAAATCGATCTTTAATTGGCCAATCAGAGTTTTTGCCGATCAGCTAACAAAAACAATCTACGCATATTTAATAACACGCATTAAGCACAGTATTTTCCGTTCCTGGTTTTGCGTGACGATGACGTACGTACGTACATTAATTCGATAAACACGGACCGTCATAGGGATCAAAGTAGTATATCCCCAAATGGTATTGAATAGTTCTATCATTTTTACGATTCGACAATTATGTTAGCTACGAACCATTTCAATAATAAATAGAATCCTTTTATTTATAGAAATCGAACCTAATTTCTGTAATTTCTGACTTTTGTCAACGTCAAAATCCCTAAACCTCGTCTAGAATGTCCAACTATTTCTAGCTCTAAAATAGCACTAACGATATCACGAAAAAAACCAAACTATATTCGATAAAATTTGCCTTATTTTTATTCTATAAACATATCGAATTAAAGTAAACAATTCTGGTTGAATTTGATTATTTAGCAGTCGTAATATTACTAGTGCAATTTTAGTTGTTAGAAAATTGCTGGACTCTATGGTCTCGTCTAACAATTGTAGTACTTCTCCGCAGTGTTGTACATGGGATAGTTGGGAAATGTCGTGACAAAATTAGGATAAAACTGAAGGTTTGAAAAAATGTCAATAGCCCGGAATTTCATTAAGATAACCTGCTTTTAGTTCTTAAATAAAATTTACATTTTACATATACTGCATATTTATTATTTTAAATATAATTTTGTATATATGTTTATTACTTCTTAATAAGTTAAAAATTGGAATATTTGATGGAACGTTCTGGGACAGGACAGGATGAACAAGACAAGACAAAAGCTCAGGGACGTCAAATGTACAACACTGCCTCTACGTTACATACCTGCAAGAAATGAGGTTGCATGTAACACAAAGCACAAAGCCTGGAATACATTGGTTTGTGATAATCATTTAATTATCGCCAACAATTTATAACCGACTTTTTACCGCAACCATTATGGTTAAACGGTTTGTCCATGGTAATTGTCGCATCCTTTTATCACATTATTTGTCATCTGATGCGACTAATTATATAATAAAAGTATGTGACAGTAATAATAAACAAACCGTTTAACAACATGACCACGGTCGATACATAAACATATGGTCATCATTAAATATTAGCATTAGCGGGAATGGTCATAAACCGCTCTCACACCGCCGTTGCTAATTTTATTTAACGAATAACAATATTGATGGTTAAATTCGAATCCAAGAAAATTTATCTTATACGGTTTTTTTTTTTTACGAAAAAAACCTGTTCATTTTATATTGTTGCTTCGTTATTAGAACTATTTTTTACGAAAAAAACCTGTTCATTTTATATTGTTGCTTCGTTATTAGAACTATTTCTTGTTCTTTTTTTAGCAAATTATATAAAATTGTAATGTCATCCAAAAACTTTTGCAGTGAGAATGCACAGCCAAGAGGAAAAAAAAGAACCTGCGAGCTCATTGAATCAGGAAGAGAAAAAAGAACTCGTGCTAGTGTAATCTGTGAAGGTTGTAAATCTTCAAAAAGAAAGTGTGAAGGTTGGGATTCAAGTGTGGATCCTCCTGTTGATTGTGAAAATTGTAGACGAAAACAAATTGCATGCAAGCTTCCACCTCATTGCAAATTATGTAGGAAGAAACTTGATATTTGTCCGAATCAGAAATGCAAAGAGAATGAGAATGACAAAATGAATTTGCTCCATAATGACAGCGCCAGTTGTATGTCATTATTGGAAGAATGTGTAAAAATTGTTAAAAAGTTGAAGGAAGATTTTAAAAGCTTGGAAGAAGATGTTAAAGAGTTGAAAGAAGATGTTAAAGAGTTGAAAGAAGATGTTAAAGAGTTGAAAGAAGATGTTAAAGAGTTGAAAGGAGATATTAAAGAGTTGAAAGAAAAACTTGAAGAACGCAATAAAAAAATGGTAATATTTGAAGAAATCCAAAATCAAACAGCTATTCAACAGTTTTATAGCCCGGAAAATGGTATGTAAATTACAAGAAGCTTAGTTTAAAATGATTGGTTGTTGTTTTGAAATTTACGTCACTTTTTTTCGATTATTCTTCATATTTATTTAGATCGAAATTCATCTTATAATTTCTATTCAGGTAATACTGTATAATTCATTAGTTATTTATAGTGCAAGTCTTTATTTGAAACTTAAGCAACTTTTCACCTATCGATTGAATTAATAGAGCCAACATCACACGAGCCTAATTTCATTAACCCTCAGGATTATGAATCAATAGAGCCAGCATCACACGAGCCTAGTTTCATCGACCCTCAGGATTATGAATCAATAGAGCCAGCATCACACGAGCCTAGTTTCATTGACCCTCAACATTATGAATCAATAGAGCCAGCATCACACGGGTCTATCTTAATTGACCATCAACATTATGCACATGGGAACATATTTTAATTTAGATAGGACCTGATAAACAAAGGTTGTCGAGTCATCCTACATTATATTATTCATCATCGCTCGATTATATTTGGTTCTCAAGTATGTTGTCACGTGATAACACGTAGATATTTATCAAATTAAGTCGTACTCACGTTATGTGACTGCGTATCACTTATCCTAAGATAATTTTTCTTAAAATAGATATTTTTTTTTTTAAGCAGACAGAGGTTAATTTTGAAATTAGAAACAAAGAAACTTAAAGAAATTCAAATGTTTATACCTAACCTTTAAAGCTAATTTTACGCAAGCTTTAAGAAACAACTATATGCTATATGAATAATAGTTTATTATAAGATAGGTTTTTTTTCTCTTTAGAATAGACAGAGTTTTGTTTTAGAATTAAAAAAATATACTCCAAATTTTTTATATTCGTATCCCAAATTCGAATTTAAATACAAATCCAACCTAAAAACTAATTTTAAGTTTCTTAAGCTCTAAGTAGCAATTATTTATATGTAGTAATACTAATAACTAAGAACATAAAATAATGCCGAATGAATATATTCAACGATTTGTATAATTTAAGAAAAATTTAAGTCAGTTTGTTTTTGTACATGTCAGTTATTTCAAAAATATATCTAAAGTATTGAGCTTATTATGATATAAATAGAGTTTGATCTATCGAAACAATTTATGTACTAAGGAAGGGCAATTGGAAAAAGCTAAAGTTTGCAAAGAGCAGGATATCTCACGAAGCTTCCTGTCAATTATATATGTTTATTTAGGATCGGAATATCGGAATATCGGAAAAATTTATAATTTAAATACGAGCATTAAAATGGAAATGATTTACGATATCAATGAAGAAATACAATGAAGAAATGATAATGATTCACAAATTTATCATGATGACTTTAAATATAGCAACATGCATAGAAGTACAGAATGGACGTATGGACGTACGTACGTACGTACGCACGCAAGCATTGACTCATCTTCAAAAAGAGGAGCCCTAATTTCTCCCCAAAAGTTGTGATTGGACGCATGAAATTCCGTCTTTAATTGGATAAACTACCTTAGCACAGCTGAAAAAATCAAAAACATCGTTTAAATAAAATAAAAAAAAATTTCAAATTATTTTTATATTTATTTATAACTTTCAGAATTCTTTCTGTTAGTAAAAAAAAAA